GGGAGTGAGTGAGGTGGGGGCAGACAGGCAGGTGAGGGAGGGATAAAGGGAAAGAGGCTGGTGATTGAGAAAGGCATGATAAGCTATTTTATTTTTGACCAAATGTTCTTGTTGTTGACTAATGGATAATGGAATTAATATTATACCGTGGAGCTACTGTACTATTATCATACAGTGAGGTTTTGATATCATGACATGTCTTACAATACTGCAATAAATGTCATGGGCTTGTTATTGGGGTACAGTATTGTAATATTGTGAGATTGTGATATTGTTACATCCCTAGTAGAGCACAAAGAACAGAAAAATAGTGGGATGATACAGTTAATCTACAGTAAAAAATTTTACTGCATTGCCAAAGTATCAGATCGGGACTCGGTATCGGCAGATACTCAAAATCAAATGACTCGGACTCGGACTCGGGGGCAAAAAAATGTGATCGGGACATCCCTACAAAGTACGCTTTTAATGTAAAAAAAAAAAAAAAAAGGACTGACTAATTTAATCCAATGACTCACTTCATTCAAATTGATGATTCTTTTAAGGGATTTAAAAACTTTTTTTAAGGTGATGATGTCATGAAATATGACAGACATTTGAAGCCTCATTTGAAAAACTCTAGAGGCTTTAATATCCAAAAAATAAAAATAAATAAATAAAAGTGACATTCGGTAAAGCCCTAATTTTCCAGCTCAGGTAGTTTCACACTTGAGTGTTTAAACTTTTCTTTGATTGCCAGTTTGTGCTGAGAGTCTGTTTCTCAGCAGGCCACTGAGAGGAACAGAGGGTGTTCACACAGTAAATGTTGATGGTGCATGTCTGAGCTGAGGTTAGTTTGTGGTTTAAAGGTACAGAACAGAGGAGGTCATGTTAATACAGAAAACAGCCATGCGTATACAAAATAAGGACTCTAGGTACATATTACACGATGAGGCCGTGGGCTTTAAATATTTCCTTGCCTCATATTATCTAACTGAGATGCCATTCTAAGACTCTGACAGGGTACTTCACTTTCTCATGACATTGTGCTCTCCTGGAGTCTTTCGTATACAGGAAAAGGCCACTTCTGGGGCACACAAAGCCAGGAAGGGGCTGAGAAAAATGTTATGATTGCACTCAGTTAGCCCCTGCTGCTTTTTAAGGAACATGTGCGACCTAAAAGACAAAGTTGTGACAGAAGGCGAGGCAGGAATCTTTAATGACTCGCCCCAAGCACACGGTCAGAGCAGATCGCTCATCAGTTAGTATGAATACACAACACTTTGACACGTTCAGTTTGACTCGAGTCGGCCACCAACAAACTGTTACAGGCATTTTTTGTCTTGCAGAAAACATGAGCTACCTTGGATTATTTAGTGCAGCTGTTTCGCTTGAGTAGCTACAGGCCTGCTGATAGTCTGGAGGAGTGCAGTGAGAAAGAGCAAGTGCTCAAGCCCGTTACAGTTCAGACTTGTGTCAACTCGATCCTGACTGAGTGAAATGAGCAAAGTGGAGGACGTTCTTAAAGAAGGAGCAGCAGGAGGAAACTAAATTTATCATTAGGAGCCAAAAACAAGCACCTGAGCAGAGCAAAGCTATTGTAAGTGATTCATGCAGCAACTTCAGAGATTTTAAGAAATGACAAATTTAAAAGCACATTAAGGTGACACTCAGCACTCAAGGTAAGAGGAAACTTATCAGCTTATCTTTCTAGCCTGTCAAACATCCTGTCAAATCTAACCACTGCCACAACAACACTTTTTTTTTTAAATAGGAGTCTGCAACAGCAGTAGCACTTTGCCTCTGTTTTCCACAACGAAAAGCATCAACAGCTTATATAAACCACTCACAACAGTTTGAAAGTATTTCAAGTCGCTGGCACTCAAGATCTCTTTGAAAGCGGCACCTTACCCTGCAGGCACATGTGAAGTGGCAGGTCAGCTCACCCCTCCTGTCTAATCCAGTCAGCTGCTCAGACTTCTGTTGTTTCTGTTTTGGCATCTGGTTTCTGCTCTGTTCTGGTCCCCCTCACCCAGACATCTTGACAAGTCTTCACTTTCTGTTCCTGTTTCCCTCTCTACCCTTGTTTCCCGTCCTCCTCCTCCTCCTCCTCCTCCTCCTCCTCTCTATGAGTGAGTGTGTGTTTTGGTCACAACGTCACTGCACCCTGCCCACTTTGTGTAAGAATGGGCCCTCTGTCTGTGTGTTTCCTACATGGGTAACTGGATTCTTGTGGTTGCTTTACTCATAGAGGCGCTGAGTGATGTCAGAGAGGGAAAGTTAGGTAAACTGAATATGAAATGAAATCATAAGAAGGCTTTATTAAATGTCTCAAAACAAACTCCCCATGTTAGAATATTAAAAAAGGCTCCTCTACAGCACAAACCAATCTGAAGACCTTGCACCAGCCAGAAGTTGCAGGCAATGTTGCAGCATTTTGCATAATAGCACTAGATTACCACAACACCACTCCACCCATGTCGGAGTCCCAAAATAAATAGGGGAAATGAAAACTGTTAAAGTGTGTGTGTGCATTGTTAGTACCACCAGGTATAAGAGTGAGATCCAATTGAGATATGAAAGAGTGAGGTCATGCGTCTGCGCACACACACTCACTGTGCCCGTGGCGTTTTGGTCAATGCCCTTTCAGTTCAGTCAAGCAAAAGAGGATTTTTATTCAAGTAAGAAAAAAGTGTTCTCCTGACATTAAGCAGCAGTCTATTTATTCTCTTCTTCTGAAAGGGGGAAGTGAGGAGCTAAAGTGCACTGACTTGAATACTGTGCTCACAAACAGTACGATGTTGGCTTGTGAGCATACAGTAACTCAAAATGAGGTGAATGTGCGGCTGCATAATCAGGTCACACAACCACTAAGAAATTCCTTTTTAAAAGAATGTTCAAAGGGCACCTATTATGCTGATTTACAGGTTCATACTTTTATTTTGCATTCCTACTAGAATGTGCTTACATGTTTTAATGTTAAAAAAACAACAACACTATTTTCCCCATACAACACCTATATTCACCCTCTGTCCTTTATCGCCTGTCTCCTTAAGTCCCTTTCCCAAAACTCCTGTGACTGTAACAGAGAATAGCGGCACTGTCTACAAGGAAAAATCAACATTTAAGTCCTCTGAACCAAAATCTTTACAACCTGACACGTTCCAGCAGGAATACGATCTGAAATCAGGGATAAATTAACATCAGCAACCAAAGGTTACAGAAAACAAAAAAAGATTGCAAGATTAAATGGCTCCCTGATATTAGCATGTAGCTATATATAGCAGTGTGCTTGCAGCCGGGGAGTGAATGTAACAGAGTATAGCAGAACTTTCTAACGCGAAAAATCATCAATAAAAGCTTCTCAACCAAAATCTTCACAACTGGACGTGTTCCAAGAGGAATATGATCCAAAATGGGGGAGATATTAACAACATTGGCAAACAAGATTACATGTTTCCCTCTTGTTAGCATGTAGCTACATGTAGCAGTGTACTTGCAGCTGGGGAATGAATTTAACGGAGTATAGCAGAACTTTGTAATGTGAGAAATAACCAATAAAAGCTTTGCAAATAAAATCTTCACAATTGGACATGTTCCAACAGGAATGTGATCTGAAATTGGGAAGAAATTAACAACATTGGCGACAGAGATTACATGTTTCCCTCTTGTCAGCATGTAGCTACATGTACGCTCCATGTAGCAGTGTACTTGCAGCTGGGGCAATGACTATAATGGAGAATGGCAGCACTTTCTACAGTGAAAGTCACAAATAAAAGCTTCAAACGCGAAATCTTCACAAGTTCTAGCAAGAATATAATCCAAATTTGGGCAGAAATGAACAACATCTGCAACCAAGATTACATGTTTCTCTTTTGTTAGCATGTAGCTACATGTAGGCTCCATGTAGCAGTGTACTTGCAGCTGGGGCAATGACTGCCACGGAGAATAGCAGCGCTCTCAATCACAAATTAAAACTTCTAACCCAAATCCTCACAAGTTCCAGCAGGAATATGATCCGAAACTGGGGAGAAACTTACAACATTAGCAACCAAGGTTACATGTTTCCCTTTCGTTAGCATGTAGCTACATGTAGCAGTGTAGGCTACGTAATGTAAACACTTGCAGTAACTTGCTTGGAGCGAATTATCTTGTAAAGAAAATCTGGAACAGACACAAAAGCAGAAAAAAAACATTGGAAGGGTCCCACTTTGGCATACGGTTACCTCATTATATGTAGCTTTGCTATGTTTAATATGAACATCTGACATTGTAACATTATATATATGACAGAAAATGAGGAAAGGCTTAATAGGGCTTCTGTCTCTGATGTTTTTATGGTGTTAGTTTCCAAATTCAGCTGTTTAAGAATTTATAAAATAATGTTTTTTTCATTATAATGAATGGGGAATTTTATCTTTTCATATCTTAAAGTAGCTGAAATTTAAAAGAACTCAAACAAGAATATCGATAGTTAAAAGTAACAAATGCATGCGTCCTTCATCTGAAATATGATCTGATCCCCACTTTTATTTTAGACTAATCTACTGCAGCTACATTTTGTCTGATAACCTGGAAAATACAGTTCCAGGGCATCTGACTGGCTCAACATGCAGTGTGTCTTTTCCTTGCTACGGGGCATGGTTACATGAAAATTGATGAGACAAGCCTCACCATGTCTGCAGGTGTGTCTGAGCCATCTTAGACAAATAGCAACCCCCCCCCCCCCCCCCCCCCCCCCCCCCCCCCCCCCCCCCACCCCCCCCCCCCCCCCCCCTTCTCCCAACACACACACGTACACACACACACACACACTGGCAGGGTGTGTAGTGCTACACAGTGAAGCTATATCACAGCTGCTGTTGAGGCACTACAGTGTCCAGTCACCTCGAGCAAGTGTTGATTAATGACCTTGGTGTAGCAGCGCTTGCCTTGATGGAAATCCTTCCTTACAGTAGTTTATATGAAAATGATTTCTCTGTATATTCCACTTGCCGCTTTTGATTGCTACTGGAGACGTCCCTGCATGTAGATACTTATATTCATGCAGGAGTCATCTGAAAATCTTAAAGCTACAGTTCACCTCAGAATGAAAAATATACATTTCTCCTCTTACCTGTAGAGCTATTTATCAATCTAGATTGTTTTGGTGTGAGCTGCCAAGCGTTGGCGGTATTGGCCATAGTCTGCCTTCTTTCAAATTTAATTAGATGGCACTAGGCTTGTGGTGCTCAAAGTGCCAAAAAAAATACATTTGAAAAACTCAACAGCAATGTCTCTTCTCTTAAATCATGACCTGGTTACTCAAGATAATCCACAGACCTTAGTGTGAGCAGTTTCATGTAGGAACAATTTTATATTTACCGAACTACACCAGCCAACTGTGTCATCGTAGAGAAGGATGGGTGAATCTACTCATGGATAAGAGGCTTGTGACAGCGCGAGATGTAAACATTAATGGTGTCCTCCTCAGCTGAGCTGTGGCGTTAGCTAGCTCAGGTGCTTGGTGAGTTAGCAGTAGATGCACACTTCATTCTGTGCGGTGTTAGGGTTGGCGGGTGTATTTCAGTAGATAGAAAATAGTTCCTACATGAAACTGCTCACAGAAAGGTCTGTGGATTATCTTAAGTGGGTCATGATTTCTAGAAAGTGACAATGCGATTGAGTTTTTTTATAAATGTATTTTTTGGGACTTTGAGCACTGCAAACACAGTGCCATTGAGTGCAGCTATATATTCCATTGGATTATTGTATTCTCAAAATAATCCATAGACCTTTTTTTGTGCAGCTTCATGTGGGAACCATTTTCTTTCAATGGAACTACACCTGCCAACTGTATCACTGTGCAGAAGGAAGTGTGCATCTACTGCTAGCTCACCTAGCACCACTGAGCTAGCTAATGTTACAGCTCAGCCGAGGACGACACCATAAATGTTTACATCTCTCACTGTCATGAACATGAGCCTCTTGTTCTTGAGTAGATGCACTCTTCCTTCTAAGAAAATAGTTCCTACATAAAACTGCTCACAACAAAGTCTGTGGATTATCTTGAGTAGCCGGGTCATGATATCTAGAAAGAGACATTGCTGTTAAGTTTTTCCAAATGTATTTTTTGATGCTTTGAGCACCACAAGCTGAGTGCTATCTAGTCAGGGCGTAAAATTAACACCCGCCAAGCGCCAATGGCGGGTAAAAAATGAGTTTGGTGTGTAAAACAAAAACACACACCCGCCAGTGGCCGATGGAAAATTTTGAATTGCATGTGGGTTTTTTATGTGCTTCGACCATTTCTGCCAGCTGTGTCCAGGGACAGTTTTTGCCATGGGCAATGTGGGCGACCGCCCAGGGCGCAGTCTATGTGAGGGCGCACGAGCACCCTCCAAAAAAACAAAAAAAACAAAAAAAAAAAACTCGCCAGTTTTCTAGACTACCGTTCATTTCCATGTCAAGTTAGTGGAGTGGGTGCCCCATTATCACGTTTCTACCAGCAGCAGAAAGGAAAGGCGAATCCTAGAGGTTGTGGGTTGAACGGGGGTCACAGACAGGAACACGGCGGAGGCTCATAGTGCTCTTCGGCGAAAGATAATGGCTTACCGGCGACAGAGAAGTCCGACTCCAGGTCCAGTAATTTTCTCTGTCGTTGGTGTCATGACTGCCCAGTAGTACCTGGACAACCGAGCCGTGGCGGCACACAGGTATGTGGTGTGTCAGAAGAGAAACGAGCGGTTCACATTTCCATAAACCTCACCGCACTTTAGGGACTGTTCTTTACTTATGGAGGGACTGTCAGGGGAGGAGGGTGGCTGGTTGATTTTTATTTTATTTTTTATTTTATTTTGATCCCCCCTATGTTAATCACTTATTGATGCTGTTTTTGAAGTATGAATAAGTCAATAAGTAATTTATTCCATTGAAATATCATTGATGTATTATAGAAAAGTGATTTATCTTTTTATAAATGACAAAAGGCACATCTGCCTCAAATTTGCAGTGGTATCATGATACTAATACTGCAGCCTTTGCAACAAGCACGCCAAAGAAACACAGAGGACAGGGTTGGATTTTCCTAAAGTTGGA